GTTAGTGCACATGAAAATCCAATTTTTACGAAACAGATATAATAAAAGAAAAAACGACGTATACGTGGTATTAAAAATGACATAACTGTTTCTTCGTTCATTAAGTGAGTTTTTGTTTTAGCAACAGCAACGATTTCCTGTCTCCTGTGTGTATCGGCCCACATGCTCCTCAACATGTGTAATTTACGCTGCCGAGCACCAGTTTCATGCCGCGCCGCCTATACTCGCCAAGCCGCGTTCTCATTCCCAAACTTATTATTATTATTATCATTTTTTCTTTGCCTTACTTTCCTACCAAAAAAACATCATTAAAAACTCTTTTCTGAACAATGGTTGGACGAAGCTCAGGATTGGCCGGCTAGATTTCCGGATTTGACTCTCCTAGAGTTTTATGTTTTTTGGAGAATTTTTTCAGGTTATGTATCTGTCAGTATAGTCAATGAAAGAAATAATATTATGTTTAGGCGTTAAAAATGTATAAATCTTTATAACATTACAATAACAATGCATGGTTTAAGAATTTAAGAATATAAATACTGCGTTTAATGACATTCTAAAGTGTATGGTGCCAAATAAGTAATATTTTGATGCATTTGGTCCAAATATCTGGTTTTCTCCATAAAATAATTTTAACTAAACAGCATTTATTTAAAAAAATCTAACTTCTCTATTATGGAATAAGAATATCTGTATTAAAGGTAGGTTAATATATTATAACAAAAATATCATCTAATTTTGTAATTTTAAGGTTAGAAAAATTTATTTTGACCAAAATAAATAAGTATTAAAAGACTGTACAATATGGTATTTAAAAATGGAGTAGTTTTTCTTATCCAGCTTAAAGTGTACCTACATAAAGTTTTGTCAATACAAATAGTTAAAAAGCTTCGACTGAACTTGATCTACATCGAACTTATATATTATAACTTTAAAAATTTTAATAAATCACATGTCATGGGAGTATTAAATATTTTCACATTGCAAGTTTCTCTAAAAATTGTTTGTTTTCTTATAATCTAACTTAAAGTAGGTATGCCGAGAGGTATGCACAAGTTTTGTCTTTAGAAGTATAAAAGCTTCAATTTAATTTGAACCATATTTAACAATTTTTTAGTATACCTATATTTATTTATGACCATATTAACACACTCTTCCAAATAATCCACTTATTTATTTTGGTCAAAATAGATTTTTCTAACCTTAAAATACAAAATTAGATGATATTTTTTGTTCTAATACATTAACCTACCTTTGCTTCAGATATTCTTATTTCATAATAGAGAAGATAGATTTTTTTTAATAAATGCTGTTTAGTTAAAACTATTTTATGGAGAAATGTAGACCCAATGCACAAAAATATCACTTATATTGCACCTTACACTTTGGAATTTCATTAAATGCAGTATTTATATTCCTAAATTCTTAAACCAACCATTGTTATTGTGATACTATAAAGATTTATTAACTTTTAACGCTTAAACATAAGCGGTAACATTATAAATATTATTTCTTTCATTGACTATACTTTGACAGATACATAACATGAAAAGCCTTAAATGCCAAATTTTCAAAAGACTGCGTTCCGTACGTGGTCACGTGGTGGGACTTTGAGGTGTGGAGCATAGTACATACATAAAATATTTATAAAAAAATCTACTTACTGATATATTAAACTTCACGGTGGATAGGTTTTTAAATAGCAGATTAATGAACTTAAACTTTTGAATTATAAAACAGCAACACTCTCATCTGCATATAAATTCTAATTGTCCTTCAGGAATCACATGCATCTGTAATGTTGTAAACAGAGGTTTTTGCTTATTTCAAATGATTAAAGCGCCATCCGTTGCATAAAATTTAAAGCAAAAACAGATTCACGGAGGATATAATCAATTTTTGTAACACCTACATAAATGGTTATAAAAATTATTTCTTTTAATTTTTAATAATATTTTATATTTGTTCAATTGCTTTGGATGTTTTTAATTTACTAAGTGAACTGATATTTTTAGTATGCTTTTACTACCTCAGATATTTGAAAACATATAGGTTAACCTAGAAAGAGTAACAGTCACGGAGGATAGGTTTTAGTCTCGAATCTGCAAAAAAAGAGGGGATACAATTTTAAAAAAAGGCGAATTTGTTTCATACTTTTGCAAATCACTGAATAAAGGCTACATCATTACATCAAACTGGCAAACAGCATAAAGCAACAAAAAACAAAGTTTAAAACCATATAATCCGTTTGCTTTTTAAAGTGAAATGGCAGTCAGTAATAATTAATAACGAAAGAAAAATAAAAGTAGCATACGCAGGCTAATGAGAAAAGGCATAGTGCGGCTTAAAAAAGTTTAACTGCCTCATTAGGAATCGCAACAGTTATCTAAAATCATTGAAATAAATACGTTAAAACTTTTAATAAGCACTTAAGCGAAGCGAGATTGTAAAGCGGTCTGTTGCGGAAAATAATAAATATTTCGAATTTTGCAGATTAAGAAATATAGGTGAAATAATTTATTTACATTTCATCCATTAAAGTAAATATTAATAACATAAACATAAACATGTTTAGGAAGTTTTTACGCACCACAATATAGTAATAATAAAACTCAGTTTTGTAAATTCACTGCAAGATTCATTACAACTCAATTTGGGAAAATTACAAAACGTTTGTTGAAATTCACTAAGCATTTATTAAAAATTTATTCAGTAACATTACTATACAGGACCTGTATTACAGGTATTGTAATTTTGCTGAAAAAATACTAATATGTTTAGTAATTTAAAAAATTTAACAATTTTCCTGAACTGAAGAAAATTCGTTTCGTAATATTTACAATACAAATATTGTTATTTTGTACAACAAATTACACTAAAAATATTTAGTAATTTACGAATGATGGTATTGTAATTATACTACGAAAAAAACCCTGCAATTTTCTTAGTTTCTTCAAGAAACTTTCTTGACCCATTACTGTAAAGATTTAAAAAAATTGAACCTTCACCTCGCCAGAGTTTTTGTTTTAAGTGCGTTCCACCAACTTAAAATACCGACAGACAGCTAGATAGATAGACCTATTTTGGGTCTTATCAATGCCGGGCAATTTGGTGTATTGGAACACATTAAAAACGAAAGGCACCTGAGCTTATATACTTTCCACCTTAGTCAACCGAGGCGAGATGTAAGAACATCACGTGATTGCCGCAATCGGTACGTACTATGCATTTTACATAACATTATAGCAAATCAAATTACAAACAACGTTTGTAAATCTGAGATCTTTTTTATTAGAAACTGTCAAACTGTTTAGTAAAATTACAATACGTTTAGGATTTATACATATATATTGTAAACATACTTCTTATCTTAGTAGATTTCCCAATATGTCTTGAAAGATTACTCAAATTGTATTATAATTTTGTATTGGTATACACTGATTTGTAATTTTACTCATCCTTTGTTTTGCAAAACAATTGTAATTTTACAAGAAAATTTAACAGTGTAAATGATTAAAATGATATATAGTAAAAATACAAACAGAAGTTGTATTAAATAAATAATGATTTGTATATTTCCAAAAACTTATTGTAATTCAAATAGCAAATTTTGGTTAGTAATATTTATTTTTTTTAATTAAATTCCTAATATGTAAAGAAATTTTACAAAATATGAAAGTATTATGTACTACTTCATCAGAAAAACAAAATGTCCCATTGGTTTTCCCTTAGAACTATCTCTTTAAAATAAATATTAATATATTTGGGTGATTCTACAAAAGTTGGACAACTTGATGTCATCAGTCAATAGAGTAGGTATTTTAATATTTTTTGTAAATATTTTAGTATTTTACAAAAGATCCATTTTTTTTAATTTGTCCACCCAATTTTAATGTATTTTTTCAAAAGCACGTTTGTAGAAAAACATAATAAATATTCAAAACATCAGTACCTTGGCGTGTCACAACTCCTGAATCAAATATTTGAGTGATTTTATTTTAAAATATATTCAATTTATCTTAAATTTTTCAATTTCACTCCAAACTATAAAACATTAAATAATGTATTTTTTATATTTTATCATAGATTCGAATAATAGCAATTTAAAAAAAAATGATAATCTTTGTACTCACTTTTACCCGTCAGTTCTATGTCCAATGTTAAAATTCAAAATTCCTGCGAAATTAAACGTTAACTCCTCGTTTTAACTTAAGTGTTGGTAAAAAATTACCTACAGAGCCCGCCCTTTGCACGACAGTCATCTTGAAAGCAATGCAAGCGGCGAAATTGTGGTGAATGCACGTATAGTTCCAGTCAAAATTTCAGTACTGTGGTGAGTAGTTATTTTCTTACGTATATATATTTCATTGTAATTTATATAAGGCTATATGTGATTTGTTGAAAAAAAGCATCCACTAATAAAAAATATCAGTAAAATACTTAATTTCGAATTATAATCTCAAATTTGTTTGCGCAGAACTTGTTTATTTATTGTCATTATAAACTCATATAAATTTGGTGTGGGTCCCATGTCTAATAATTGAGATATCGGTATACCCAAAATCCACCAGCCGCCACTGATGTGTGGTATTATTTGATTTTAAGATATTTAATGTATAATATGCTCAAAGTTGCAATAAATTTTATATTTTTCAATAAATTATGTATTTAATTAGTATCCTGGTATACTCGTCACTTCCCTTGCATTCAAATTTAGAAAACACAGATATTTCGGAAACTGTTTGAAAAAGTGACTGGCCCGGTCTGGAACAGTATATTTATAACAAAATACTGTTTTCTCCGAAAACTATATAAACAAAATAAGGTCAAAAGTTGCCCAACTTTTGTAGAATGACCCATATATACATACATAGGTATTATATAGTATTAATATCTTTTTATATCAAATTAAAACTAACTAACTCACCTTTTTGCAAAAAAATAAAAAACTCATAATCTTATTGGTTGGGTAAAAATAAAAATGCAAATTAAAAGTTTGTTATTTATATATACTTCTTTTATACACATTTAGAAATATTTTCATATAATAATTATAATTTCCTTTCTAAAATTTAAGACAGTTTTTTTTCAATTATTATAACTACTTTACATAATAATAAGGTACAGTTTCTGTCTTGCATTCACCATCATACAATCAACAACTATTATTTTAAAATAGGTAATAATATACAGGAATCACTATAAACACCCCCAAAAAATTTTTGGGGACTCAACACTTCTTTGTTTGTTTCCAATAACCAATCACGCGCTATCTATTTTACAACAATGGGTTATCGACAAATATGATACTTGTCAAAAAGCCATTTTATTTAACAAAAACGTACTAACGCAAGAAAATAAATATAGGCGGCATAAAAACGAACTTCACCTGACTTAGATAGTAAGTATTGAAAAGTTTAATTTATTTATACATGGCTTCGGAATATACCGCACAAAACATTAACAATAACTGTTAGTACGTCGCTAAACTAAATACGATTAAATATTTTTTAGAATCAATGGTCGGTAAAACAATAAGTTAAAGTTACACTTAATACCCTGTTTAATAAATAAATAATACCTAACAATATTATCAGCAAAATTGTTTAATTCAAAAAAGACTTCTATCATAGATGAGACGACGAACTTTTATATTTATAACCGTTTAACTCATTATTGTAGCGAGATTGACTTTAAAAAATATATTGCACCAAATCATCAATAAAAATTTCATTGAAGTACACACAAACCAAATAAATTCTAGGAAACAGTGCCGGATTAAAAAAAAATAATAATGCAAAAACAAAGTTTCTGTGTACTTCGCTGATGTAATAAAATTGGGACCGTCAAATGAATCGAGATCTATGTACAATCAATGGAATGCAATCGGAAATAATTTACACAACATGTAATATACATTACACACAATACATTCACTCACTTTTCACAGGTTTTCCTTTGTTAATTAAAGTTTTATACAATTTAATTAGTAACTAATCACGTTGTTTAATATTAAACTGCGGGCCACACCCTGTAACAAAAAAAAACACAAATTAGATATTATATTTTTATTAATTTAAGAAAAGACAAAATTTATCCAAAATGAATTAGTTTAATCTAAAATAGAATAAATCAAGAAAAAAACTGACAAATTTAAGTTTTTTATGATAAATATGTACATTTCGCAAATGATTAATATAATCAAATTAAAATTAAGATTGGTCACAGAAAAAGTTTTTCTTAAACCAATCAAACAAAAGATTGGCTTAATGTAACGTTAAGCTTAATTTTCAAAGAAAAGATAGATAAGATCAACTCTTGGATATTATTATTATATTCCTATTTGAATTAATTTTATCAAATAATATTTAAATAAAAACTAAATGGATTTAACTTTATTTTTACTAGTATTAGTAAGTAGTATCAAAAGTTGGATATAATTAGTTTTATAGTTGATTAATGTAAGCACACATTTTATAGGTCTTTTTCTAAAATTCAGTAAATGTTCCTTATAATTTCATCTAGACAGGATTATTTTAATTTAAACATATTTCAAATATATTTGGAATAAAAACAATAAAATAATTGCTTAATATCTATACATGTTTAAATTAAAATAATTCTGTCTAGATTGAATTATTTGAAAAATTTACTTAATTTTAGACCTATGAAATGTGTACTTATTCTATCAAATTTTTAATACGATTATCCAATATTTGACTAAATTATTAAAAGTCAGCTAAAATCAAGCTAATATTTTGACCAAATCTGTAATATAAGCAACAAACTTAGCAAACATGCCAATTTTTAATTTTTAACGCGTTTTAGTTGGCAGTTTCTCTTCGAGACAGGTGGTATAGTGAATTGTGAAAGAACGATCGTGTCTATTCAACACAGCAGATTCCAAAACCGTTTATTTTGACTTCGCTCTCATAGTTTTTGCGATATATGTAGGTATAATAAATTTTATTAGTTTCCACGTTTTTGGTTATTAAGAGCAATATATGTTCCTACCAAGCATTTTCACTGTCAAGTAGACGTCAGGGACATGGATAATATTAAAATCGTGATCACAATCCTCACAAGAAGGTCTGTTCGATTTCGTTGGCATTCGAACGAAAACTGTTGTGCGCACCACGTGGGATATCTCCAGCCACCATCTTTGATTAATTTGACGCCGTTAAATTAAATTTAAACAGTTGTTTTTTAAGGTTTTTAACGCAAATATTTTAAAACTTTTAAAATTATACATTATATTAGTCAATTAAACATAAAAAACACTTGTTAAACTAAACCATTATTGAGTTATTTTTTTGTATTTTGAACCTATAGAGCATTATTTTATTAAGTTAGTTTTTTATGAAAGTTTGTAAGCTAAAATAAATGAATATTTATTAAACACAAAATTTTGTATATATACTTTACCAACGCCACTATCACAGCTTATTACGAAGATCAATATTCCAGTCAATAATCAAATATTGAATTGATTAAAATAATACAATTTTTGATAAATTCAATATATTTTTTACTAACTTTTAGATAAATTTGCACGAATCAATCAAATGATCTGATAAACTTTATCCTAATTATTCTTAATTTTACAAATTTTTTATAACTACTATTAAAAAAATAGATTAAATTGACCTAAAAAGTGTTTAATTGAATCCAAAAATTGGTAAATTTAAGAAAATATTATGTGGATTCTAGAAAATCGTAGGCGAATTTAATTTAATTTTCACTGTAATTATTCTAAATTTTGTAGTGATTTATAAAACTTATTTGCTGCTATTTATCACGGTTTGATACATGTAAGCCTAGCAAATAATTCAATCGAATGAATTATTGATATTAATCTAATTTTGGATTGGCGTTATATTGATCAAAAATTTGATTGTAATACTACCTTATTGGATTAATTGTATTCAAAATTTCTTTCTCTACGACTACTTAAGAATAGTAACATTCTAGTGTAATTTTTGATCATAGAAAGGATGTTTTTCTGCAATACTGTGCGAGAATATTCCTACTCTTGTTTAAGAATGGTCACAAGTAACGACATCTCCTGGCTGTTTACTAAACTTAAAAAATTTAAAAATATTTAAATATAACTGTAATATTTATTAATTAAGAAATAATAGCAGTAATATAATTAAGGTTTAGGCACAAAAAATTAGTTATATTTATTGTTTTTCAAATATACAAATCAAAATTATAATAAATTTGATATTAAAATGATAAACCAGTTACCTACTATACCGGCTTTGAAGTTTTGACAGATTCAAAAAGTTTAAAAAAAGTCCTTTAAAATGTAGAAAAAGAATAGATGTTGACATAGATTACTTGTAAACTTAGTTTTGTATTTGTTACAATGTTATTTTTTTTATTAGTTAGTGTAAATAACTATTTTTAATTATATTAAAGATTTAGGTATACCATTTGTTTAAATTTATTATAATTTACATTATAAAATTGTGACGGCACAAAATGGTTTGACAATACAAAAAACTTAAATGTCAAAAACTGCTTGGTTTCTTTTCTCTGTTTAAAATTATATAAGCGTTACTATTCTTACGTAGTCGTAGAGAAAATAATGTCTGAAACACGTTTGGAATAGCATATTCCACTCTCGTAAAACCGTCACACTCGCCTTCGGCTCGTGTGTCAAATTTTTCCTCGAGCGGAATATGCTGTATTCCAAACTTGTTACAGAATGTACTATTCTCTACGACTACTTAAGAATAGTAACATTCTAGTGTAATTTTTGATCATAGAAAGGATGTTTTTCTGCAATACTGTGCGAGAATATTCCTACTCTTGTTTAAGAATGGTCACAAGTAACGACATCTCCTGGCCGTTTACTAAACGTAAAAAATTTAAAAATATTTAAATATTACTGTATTATTTATTAATTAAAAAATAATAGCAGTTGTATAATTAAGGTTTAGGCACAAAAAATTTGTTATATTTATTGTTTTTCAAATATACAAATCAAAATTATAATAAATTTGATATTAAAATGATAAACCAGTTACCTACTATACCGGCTTTGAAGTTTTGACAGATTCAAAAAGTTTAAAAAAAGACCTTTAAAATGTAGAAAAAGAATAGATGTTGACATAGATTACTTGTAAAATTGGTTTTGTATTTGTTTTAGAGCAGCAAAATGAATGTCTTGGAGTTATAGGAAATAGTATTATGTTCTTTTTAAAACAGTTTTAATTCTCGTAAGGTACAGAACCAAAATGTTATTTTTTTATTAGTTAGTGTAAATAACTATTTTTAATTATAATAAAGATTTAGGCATACCATTTGTTTAAATTTATTATAATTTACATTATAAAATTGTGACGGCACAAAATGGTTTGTATACAAAAAACTTAAATGTCAAAAACTGCTTGGTTTCTTTTCTCTGTTTAAACTTATATAAGCGTTACTATTCTTACGTAGTCGTAGAGAAAATAATGTCTGAAACACGTTTGGAATAGCATATTCCACTCTCGTAAAACCGTCACACTCGCCTTCGGCTCGTGTGTCAAATTTTTCCTCGAGCGGAATATGCTGTATTCCAAACTTGTTACAGAATGTACTATTCCGTGTTCATGTTGAATTATATCTCAATATTATTAGAATTAGCTATACGAATTTTATTTTTCAGTTTGTAGTTTATGTTTTGTTATGTTTATTTTATAAGTTTATCAAGTTTAGGTATTCTATTTTCCATATTTTTTGTATAAGTCGCTGAATACATATGTATATAATGGATATGTAGTCCATGGAGTAAAATTATCTGGAAAATTGTATTTTAAGATCGAGAATTCATGTCTAGAAGTAGCAACAACTTAAAACAGTTTTTATAATAAATTAGATGTAAGATTAACTTTATCTACCCAATTAATAAAAAACATGATTTTTATTAAAATAATAAAACACCAACTTAACATAATTTGCGGAAGGAGCCCCATGCTTTTAAGGTTCTTGCAGGTACCTACTTAACATATTGAGGCTATAATTAAATTAATTTGGATTCGCAATATTTTAGCGAGAACTAGATTTCCGTAATTGACATTGCCAAAGAGACTTATTAAATATAATTAGACTTCGGCGACAAATTAATCATGGCTGAGATTTGGTAATAAATTTTCACCTTAATAAACAAATTAAGTTTTTAATTGCGATCGGTAGGTATAATTAATCCCGTAATTGGTGGACTATTTGGTTTATTAACTAACTAAAGCGTTTTGCGATTTTTTACCCTTTTTATTTAATTAAAAACGCTTATGCAAAGTAAATCCTTCTTGAAGATCAAAAAAAAAAAATCGACGTTAATTACAAGTTTTAAGATACCCAATAGATTACCTCTTGAAGGTTGGTTGTACTGAAAATGACAATGTCCACCCCTTTAACTTGCACATAATTATTTAAGAATATTTTTATTTTGTCAGCTCGCAATAGATTAATAAAATACGGTATGCGACATGTATGTAGGTGGTGTATATCTTCTTAACAGCGGGGATTCTGATGTAATCTAGTTAAAGTGACTTTATTGTTGCTTTTAATAAGCAATTATTAATACTTCCTCTTGGTACTCGTGTTAGGAAGGTCTTTTAAAAACTAACTGACACAGTTAAAAATACCTTTTGAACTGTAACGAACTTTACTACTGCTACTAATTTTAATCATATACTAATTTTAATCATATATTATATCACGAGAACTATGAATTTAATCGGTTAAACTAGGCTCAGTAGTTTTTTGTTTGGTTTTTGTTGGAAAATGTTGAATGCAAAATAATAATAAATAATAATAAGCGGTCGAGGGGTTTTATTTTTAATTATTTTGCATGAAACTATTTTCCAAAAAGAAAAATCAAATAAAAAACTTACTGAACATAGTTTGACAGATTAAATTTATAGGTTGAGTGATATACGTCTAGATTATTTCTCGAATTAAAGGAAACTATTTGACAATTCATAAAATCTGACGTATGTGTCAAAATTTATAAATATTTTTTTAAAGAAAATTCCATTAATTTAAGGTATGTAATAAGTAATAATTGATATTTCCTAAACTATATAACTTATTTTTTATTGTTTTTTAAAAAATGTTTGTTAAAACTTGTAAATAACACCATAAAATCGTAAACAAAAATCCAATATGGAGGCTAAAATTTAATCGCTGTTAAAAAGTTCTAGTGATTTAATCGCTTATTTAAACGAAATTTATTCTAAAATTCAAGGCTTTTGATTGGTTCATATTATAATGAGGGAAATAATCAAGTTTAAAAAATTGAGATTGCAATAGGTTTTTATATTTTTGTCAACCTTGACTAATATACAAGCAAATAAATAGTTATTTTTGCATCAAGGCAGTAAAGTCGTATTTTTTATCACGTGATTGATAAAAATGACTTTAATGCCGAGGTGCATATTAAATTTTATCCGAAATCACATTTAATAATATAGTCAATCCAAATGAAAACACCAAAACTGAATTTAAAAGTGCGCTGCATGATTTTTTATTTTAATGAAAAAATTTGAGGATGATCTTTTAGGTATCATATGAAAAACCGTTGCCGCTTTAATTTTTAGTTGCTTTATTTTTAATCGGCACCCTTTAGAAACCTGAAATCGTGTCATTTTCTTACTCTCTTATAAGAGGTTAAAACTTTTTTTCTGTGGCAATTATTGAAATGATTGTAATTTTATTTTACTGCCTAGTAAGTATGTTTTCAATATTAATTATTATTATCTAACTAGTTCATCTCATAAAAGAATGGTAAACCACTAAAGATTTGTAATAATTTGCCAATTTTTGTGATTTTTGTCTGGCTCCTGTGCCTATTCTGCTAAATCTAGAAAGTTGCTTTTTTTCAGGTATCAAGTACTTATACGATAGAAAACGTAACTATTATTTTAAGTTTCTAGACTATCATTTTCTAGTTCATCTCATAAAAGAATGGTAAACCACTAAAGATTTGTAATAATTTGCCAATGTTTGTGATTTTTGTCTGGCTCCTGTACCTATTCTGCTAAATCTAGAAAGTTGCTTTTTTTCAGGTATCAAGTACTTATACGATAGAAAACGTAACTATTATTTTAAGTTTCTAGACTATCATTTTCTAGTTCATCTCATAAAAGAATGGTAAACCACTAAAGATTTGTAATAATTTGCCAATGTTTGTGATTTTTGTCTGGCTCCTGTACCTATTCTGCTAAATCTAGAAAGTTGCTTTTTTTCAGGTATCAAGTACTTATACGATAGAAAACGTAACTATTATTTTAAGTTTCTAGACTATCATTTTCTTTAATAAAAAATTACTGAAACTTGATAATTTTCAAAATTAGCCAATTTTGCCCTCAGTTAAGAAGCGATATTGTTAGTTTTATTTATAATTTAAAATTTAGATGGCTTTGACTTAGTCAATTCACGTTTGGTAGAGAAATGTCAGAACTGTCAAAAATATTTTATAAATATTATTGGTGCGTATTTAAATTGTGATTTCAAAAAGTTTGCAAGTTAGCAAGTGTAATAAATGACGGAGTGTTCGAGATTCATGAATTTAATTGCAATTAAAAATGCAAGAACATACCATAATTTTGTACCTCTTTCTCATAGAAAATATTCAAGTTCTGAGAAGTTTTAAATTGTTAAAAATAAGCAAAAACCAAAAAATATTCTAAATAAACCCCTTTATTATAACATGTTTTATTTTAACCAGTTACCTAAAAACTAAAATTTAAAGAAGTATTTAGGTACAGAATGTGTAAATTTTTTCCAACACTAACATTTAAAATACATACATATAACTTTTAACTATTCAGTGCCTTACTAAAGGGATCAAAATAATAGAACAAGTCTAACATGGTTTAAATTGTGAAAGAAACCGACAAAAAACTGCATTTTTTATACGTTTAAATTAACTCTTTATTAATTTCACTTATTATACTTTACGATATAAACCATAAGGATCTTGAATATATATATATATGATTATACAATACATAAAATATAACATTACTACCAAATATATTAGAACTGTCAAAAATATTTCATAATTATTATTTGTGGTATTCCTTTGGTGATTTTAAAAAGTTTTGTATATAACATATGCTATATACAAAATTTACCAAAGAAATAAGCACAAATAATATTTATGAAATATTTTTGACAGTTCTGACACTTCTCCACCAAACATGAAAGCCATCTAAATTTTAAATTATAAATAAAACTAACAATATCGCTACTAAACCGGCATTAAAAAATTAATATATCTTTTAAAGGAATAAAAATAACAAAACAAGACTGACTGGACTGAAAAGATGAAGGTGGTGACTACATTTCCTGAAAGTTTCAGATTTTTATTTTTTCCTCAACATAATGATTTCTGAGGGCAAAATTGATTGCCGATTAAAAGTAGAGAATCCAAAAATTAAAACGGCAACGCATTTTCATATTTGATACCTAAAAGATCATCCTCAATTTTTTTTATCAAAATAAAAAATCAAGCAGCGCACCCCATTTGGTGTTTTCATTTGGAATGACTCAATACTAATAATTAATATTGATCAAATGTCATTTGATTATCAAATCAAATGTAATTTGAATGTAGGAAGTGTCTATGTATACTGTTTGTTATATATTTGCCCGCCGCGGCGATTTTTTAATCTAATTAATAAAATTAACTTATTATTTTTATTAAACAACATTTTATGGAAGGGTACAATCGACCTCCGCGGCGGTGCTTTTTTTAAATATTATATTATTAGTTGTTGCTGAGGAGCAGTAGACACATCTTAAAATGTATAATGGGTTGCATACAATACTCGTATTAGTAGAACTTTACTGCCGATTGTTGACTACTTTACTGCCGATTTCGGATAAAAATTATTATTATTATTATTATTATTTATGCTGATTATTTTTAATATTTTAAATTGTTTTGTTTGTTTTCAAAAATGGTTCACACAACGGCTGAAAGTGCTGAAATTATTTTTATGGCCGGCAAATCTCCAGACCTGACTCCATTAGACTTAAAATCTGATCTACAGATAAAAATTACAACTGCAAGACTTACGTTAACAGTCCGGGGTTGTCCGTCGGGTACCACGAGTACTGGGGGAGGTAGTTGTGTGGCGGGTGGGGGTGGGGGGCCGGGTGGGGCGGCGGATGGATCGGTTGTTGGGGCTTGATGTCTCCCCAACCTGGGGAGGCGGCCGGTTGTCCGGACATGTCCGAGCCGGGGGTGGAACTGGGGGCGGGTGACGAGTGCTGCATGTAGCCGGTGGCGGGCGAACCGCTAGACGAGCCGCCTCCTGAAAAAAAAAACAAGTTTGTTAGATTTTGCACACTTAAAATGTTTTTTATTAAATAAATGTATTCATAATAGTTATTTATGTCATTAGGCTTTATATAGGTCAATTTAATTCAACATCAAAGCGGCCTAACCTCACTTTTTTAGAATCTCATTTATTTATTAGCTAAAGATTACATTAAATGTACAATAATTATTATTGCTTTTAGAAGCAGTAATAGTTTGACAATACCTAGCTACATGATTTAAGTAGAAATGGATTTTTGCTATTACATTGAATTCAACTAATTGTTTAATAAATAGGGAGGTATCTAATTTCAATTTGTTTGGATTTTTATTTAAAAAATAGGTAGTTTGGAATCTTTAAGCTGTGTTTAACATTTAATTTCACTGAAAACTTAAAGCAAATTAAAACTTAAAGATAATTTAAATCGTAGAAAAAGAATCGTGCGTTTTCTTGGTTGCCTACCCTCACTTTTTGTTTCATTATTCATATTTAATTTTACAATAATTTAATGAAAAATATTAAACATTAACAGTAAAACAAACAAATTACTGCTTATAAATAAATTAAACCAGTTTAGTACGTTAATTTCTTATAGAAAAGGATTTCTTATAGAAAAGGATTAATTTGTCAAAACAATACTTCTAGCGAGAAAATATAATATAGTAAAAATAAACTTTTTCCCATATCATATCTTGATATTTAAATAAAATATATGGTAATTAATCATATCTAACATATAAACACTTATTTTTTTTATTTGTAAGTGCACATGTTTTTACCTGTAAGGTTTTTAATGAAGACATTATTTTAATTGCATTAATAAATGTAAAATTTTGCAATCGGTTGTAAATATTGTTGTAACTACTTGAAATACACATAAAACTTTAAAAAAATTAATGGAACAAACATTGTTTTTAAATTGTATACAAGAAACTTAAATTATTGTCATCATTTTTCAATCATTAATATTATAATGTTTTTCATTTATTGTTTAATGTTTTTGCAAACCTATGCGATATAATTTAGTATTTTAATAAAAATATTTAATACAATTAATTAATACAAAACTTATAAAAAAGGGTGTCCCAAAATAATTGTCTCCTCTTATACAAGGTGTGTTCAGAAAATAACGGGAATTGTTAAATTTCGCGGGTTTGTCATAAAATTTTCTTTATTATGTTGGTATACATGCCCCCGAAGTATGATAAAAACTTTAGCTGTTTTCATTGTTTACTTTGTCTGTGGCAGCCGCTAAGGTTAGACGTGTTTTATGAGCACGGCGATTTTTCGTTCGTTAAAAGAAATGGATCAAAGAATTTGTATCCAATTTTGCTTAAAAAATGAAATAAATTCTGTGAAATGTTAACAAAGGCCTATAGTGAGTCTGCTATAAGTAAAACAAGAGTTTACAAGTGGTATAAGAGTTTCAAAGATGGCCGTGAAGACGTTGAAGATGACGAACGCACAAGCGCATTAACAACCGATAAAAACATGGAAAAAGTGGAAGAAATGGTTATAATCCATCAGAGAAGTCGCTGATGATGTTGGTATATCGATTGGCTCATCCCATGAAATTTTTTCGAATGTTTTGGGTATGAAACGCGTGGCAGCAAAATTTGTTCTAAAATGGTTAAATTTTGAACAACATTTTTGGCCAAAAACAATACTGTAATGATGCCCCAGCCTCCATATTCGCCAGACATGCCTCTGTCCCAAAAATAAAGAGAACCTTAAAGGGCGGTCGTTTTGCAAGCATAGATGACATTAAAAGCGCATCGCTGAAAGAACTAAAGGCGAGTTTTAGAAGTATTTCGAGTATTGGAAGAAGAGCTGGCACATGTGCATAATATCCAATGGGGATTATTTTGAAGGCGACAACATTAATGTAGACGAATAAATAAGTATTTGTTTCAAAAAACGAAAATTCCCGATATTTACACACCTCGTATCATTTATTTTTGTGTGTGGGTACTTTATACAAAGATTACATTTGAGGTTATGCTGTGAATTGATTTTGTGACACCCCGTCATTTTAGTGTGTTATGTACCTTCCAATTTAATCCTACCTTGCATCATATTTTGGCTTTGGGGTCCAGGACTTGACGAGGGTAGGTTAGAGTTGGCGCCCAAAAGGCCTCCATGGCCTCCTGGGGTTCCGTTATTGTTTGTGCCACCTGTGACCTGCGCAGCCTTCATCATTTTCTTGTATTTACTTCTCCTGTTTTGGAACCAAATTTTAACCTGTAACAAGAGAACAAAATTTAGTAATGTATACAATGATATGGAACATCCTATACTACTGAAATTTAAATACACTTTAGTCACGGGCTGTTGAAAATTTTACGTACAGTGCCTATAAAACATTCTCTTCTATTTCACTGTTAAAAACTGCCTCTGTATCTATTGTTACACAGAAAAAAATGAGATTTGTTTATTGGGATGGTTACTTTATTTTTGTATAGATGTCGCTTCATACAAACTTTTAATTAAGAAGTCGCTCGAAAGTTTAAAATATTTCATGTAAAGCAATTTCAAATACTTTTGCTTCAACAGGTTTGTGTTTAATTTGTTGGAAATAGTTAAGTCTCACCAATTTACCAAGGAATATTGTTTCCCGTATTTTTAGTGTTAAATAATTACCATATTATGGTGTATATTTGTGTATGACCAAAAAAAGTAAATGGAGTTGTTAAAACATATATACACTCAGAAAAATGTACATGCACTAAAATTATTTAACTTTAAACTTTTTTTACTGTAAAATTAAAATAAAATAAAATTCTCATTTACTATAATGAAGCAGCAATGTTGAGCTTTTAAAAAAAAATTTCATCCAACAAAGTAATAGTTGTTATCATATTGTCATGCCAATAAGAAATACTTTATGTTTATATTAAATCTTTGTCGAACTTAAAATTTTTTTGTTAAATCTATAGTTGTGTGTGAATTGCGCTTACATAAAGTAATGCGCAGTTGTTATAGTAAAATTTGTTCATTTTACTATTTTTTAAATTACTATCGTTGTAATTCAAATTAATTTTATTTCAGTTAGAAAATCTTTGTTAATAGCTTCCGTTAAGAACATTGCTATAAAAAGACTTTGTTAATATTTACCATTGTTTTGCAATGGTAACAAAATTTTTGTTATTCCCTTAAAAAGAGGGGGAAAGGGCCAGCGCTCTCCTTGGTAAACATAACTTTATAATCCACAGTCTGTGTTATAATCTTATTGATTTCACTTGTGCGAGTGAAGTGTGGTAAAATCTAGCATGATAAAAATATCAAAAAGATCACTAAGAAAATTAAAATTTCGACGTTTTCTAAAAGAAGTATTTAAGGTCTATTCTATAAACGAAGCAGACTTGTTGTTTAAAAAGTGAGTTTATACGTTTTTTTTATTTTGTACATCATATAATATGAGTTAATTTTTTTGTTATAATAAATAATTTGTTTTAATGCCTTGCAATTATTAAAAAAGAACTACCCAACACCCAACAATAGGTTGAAAATGTGACCATTGTTACAATGAAAATAGTTTATTGAATTAACAATTAATTTGTTGTTAAATTTACATAAATTTTTTTAATATTATAAAAAAAGTTTTATTTTAAACGAAAGGGATTTGTAAAATTTACAAAATTTCTATTAAAAATACCATTAAGGTTTCATTAATACTACAAAACGTTTTAGTAAACGGTATAGAACTGTTTTTTTGGACAAATAATAATAACTATATTTATCAATGCGTTTCTGCATCTGGAAGAGTGTTATTTTTTTAAACATAACGTAAATTTACTTTATAATTAATGCAAATGTAATGTAGATAAATAATGTGTGTCGCGCTTGCCATCATATCCGGAAGATTTCGGATTTCATCTTCGCTGGTACACTAAACTGTGCATGTAGCCATGAATAATATCATTGTTACTATCCACAAAAACATTATTTGATCAAACTCAAAAATTTGCTTCACATTAGTGCCATTTTGATGGACTTTATGTCGGTGGATGGGTTGTTTATGAAATTTGAAAAGCGTGTTAATATATTCATAGGCGGCGGTGCAACAGTGATGCCCACAGCAACGAACTGTCACTCACATAAAGTCTTCAACGTATACCTACATTTATTTTTACTCATTATAAATAATAATTAAAAAAAACAGGCAGTGGATTCACAAGAGAGAGAGATAGAGATAGACGTTGCACAGAAACAAAAATTGGTGGATTTTTTTTTGGATTTTAAATTTCACACATAGGTTTTACTTTTACTAAAACCTAGATTGTTCTCTGCAGTTGCTTGAAACGCTAAATAAATTAAATAACTTTGATTTAAAATTTTGTGGTTTTTGTGAACAATATTGTCCACCTAAAACCTGCTTTTTTCCTACGGCGCGTCATTTACAATCTCCGCGATAATCTTGAAGTCCTTGTAACATTTCCTTTGCTTCAACCTTTGTGGAGCCCGAGGGCATCACACTGCTCTCACGAATTACTAAATCATCTAAAATTTGTGTTTTTTAACTTTGCGATTCAGGAAAATCTCATCTATCACAATATTACCCCCAAAGTAAATTATCTTCTTTTTATTTTTTCTTTCGTAATAAAATTCAGAAACCCATATTTTTAATTACTTTTCTCAAGGTTTCGAAATAAACAATAAGTTCGCTTATTTAAATGCAACTAGTTTTAGTGAAGCTTATGAATATTAAGCAGTTGAAAATTCATTTTGGTTGAGAAATTTTTACTGTAACAAATGATTTAAATACGAAATAACTACTGTACATATGCATATTTAAAATGAATATAAATTTAATTAACAATTTAGCTGTGGTTTGGCAAAGAAAATTAAAATTATTGCTGACGATGAATCCTTTTATTGATATTTGCTGTCCATGGTAGATGCCGAAGAAATGAAAAGTTGACGATGCTATTTTATGTCCAATATTTTATTTGATAATTTTTTTTGGGTCATGGATTCTTCTATGTAGCTTAACATTGGAAATTCCTTCTCCAGAATCGGCTAATATTGTAGCGGAGAATCTACCTCAGATCCTCAGGATTTTTATGATTTAGATATGCAGCTATTTGTGCAGGCATTTTACCAAATGTATTAATTCCTACACATTGGGTAATGCATGCTCTTCTTTTATAATTGACAAAAAACCGTTTGTGTGGTGTATTTGGTTTTCGCAAATTTAAATATTTTCGAAATGGTTGTAATGACCATCATTGATTTCATCAGATATCACAAAGATTCTTGATGTGTAATTTTTACTGTCACGATTGCCAAATTTTCTTTATCTTCCATATCATTATTCATTATCTTTGAGAACTCTTCTCGTCTATAAGCACCAGCCGACCCAAAAATAGTGGCAACTTTTATTAAAAGGTAAATTTCGTCTGGTGCTTCTTTAATGAATCTTGAAATGTCATCTTTCTCAAAAATTTTGTACTTTTTTGGTCGGTATCCCACATTTTCCTATTTTATATGATGCACTGTTTAAAATATCTGTGGTGTCAAGAGTAATCTTAAAATGGTGTCAAAATCCAACACCAAGTATAATATTAATTTAGTTGACCCATAAGTATTTATTTAAATCAACTGTGGAAAGGTTAATATAAACAAAGATTAGTTTGACGGTACTAAACCAGATAGTTCTTTTATTTTTTTTAATTGATTAAATTAACCCAGAAAACTTTAGTGAAACCAACCCGCTGTATGGTTCAGTTTACTAAATATGTTGTTTGTAAAATAAGAGTTACTTTAACCTAAAGCACTCTGTTAAAACGATTTGAACAATTTGCCGTGCATTCCTGGTTGCATAGTGTGTACCGATCGCGGCAAAGGCGGTGTGGATCCCGTGATGTTCTTAAATCTCGCCTCTGTTGACTTACATGAAGAGTATATAAGCTCAGGTAGTCCTTTGCTTTGGTGTGACACTACAAGTTGTTCGATACTAAAGAGAGCTTAAATAGGTGGAAACAGCTGTCAATACTTAGTATTTTAAGTTGGTGGAACGCACTAAAAACATTACCTCTAGCGAGTTGAAGGTTCAATTTTCTGGAATAATACCACTGGTAAAATACTAGTAATGCGTCAAGGATTTTCCTGTTTCCTTTTTTTTCCTTTTTTTCTGTGTAGTATGATTTAATTTGACCAAAAATACATAATATTTAACACTGAAAAGGAGTTCAATTTACACCAGGTAAAATTTATTTTAATACTGTGTGAAAGTTAAATTTATACTATTTTAGTATTTGAATTTACACTGGACCAACGAACCATATTTAACACCATTTTGGTTTGTATCGATATAGACCATGCATGGTGTTGATTTGGTCAATGCAATTTTGAACAGTGTGTTAATTTATAATAAATTTTGATCAACTTTTAGGACACTTTTTAACGTGGAGTACTTACTCCACAAAGTATTTGGCTGATATGATTTTCTTGAATCCGCAAAATAGGCCAGAAACACTTTTTCCTTAAAACTTTTTGTCCCTTTGTTGTTGCACCTGTTTTCAAAATGTTTAAATTGTTTCTCATATTTTTGACAGGATTTCGCTGGTAATAAATTCTCATATACTGTATTTGCTGCCTCCAGGATGTCATATGGTAGCTCTTCTGTCAAAATGTTCTTTTCAATTTTATTATTTCGCGAAAAATCTATAATACATTATGACGTTTCACAGGTTAAAAGCTAATATAAAAAGAAACCTTGCCTTAACTTTGGAAATTATTAAATAATTAGTCCTAAAAATAGATTAAAAAAACTTAAATTGATAGTCTAGAACTTTGTAGGACACCTTTTTTATATCTACTTTAAAATTAATTAACTTTCAAGATGAATAATTAAAAATTTATCTTGGTTGTTGTTAATTCATCACAATGTCTTCTGGTAAGTTATGCAATTACCTACCTATAGATGTTACCTCTAGATATAAATAATTTAAGGTCATCAGTGTATATAATAGGTATTGTTAGATGCATGCATTTTTGTTTCATCTTTATTTTGGTTAATAATGTTTTTAAGGACTGAACTTATGTTTACATATAACCAAGTGAATGTGGAAATATATTTTGGTTCATGTCTCAGAAATATGTTTGAAAGTATGAAACTACCGTTGGGATATCATAATAGGCCGTGTGCGGAAAGTACCTATCTAGGTACAAAAATGTGAGAAAAAACACAGTGCATGAAAAAAATAATTTTCATTCGAGTGTACAACTACGCCTTGGGC